TATTTGTAGCTTCCCTTCTAAGTGCTACTGAATAGTAATACATTCTTCTTCTTTAGGAGAAATTTGTAGTCATCTAAGGAACAGTTATTTGTTTGATTTAAAGAATTCATTAAAAATAAAGCTTTCTTATGTAATTAATAACATCTAATGGTTATAACTTTTATAAAAACTAAATATTAATACTTCAATTATATTGCCCTTACACCTACCTATTCAGTGCACCGAATAAAACTTTCCCCTCTTTATAGTAGATCTATCAATTTTGAAAGCTCATCATTATATATATGTATATATACATATATAAACTCATAGCCATCTAAGTAACATTTATTTGTATATATATTGAACGGGGAAAGTTATGTTTCATACTAAGGAAGCATTATCGTAAAATATTAATCTTGCCTCGAGTTAAATTATGACGAAAATTTAACTATTTTAATGTCACTGAATTATAAGAAAATAGTTTTGTTACATATGACCAAGGATTTGTGGATGACATGAAAGCCGAGGAATTATCAACTAATCAATCCTAGCCAATTAATGCATTATGCTTGATATAATTATATAATTATTTATAACAAATGATGCATTATCGATTGATACTTTATCTTTTTTCCTTCAGCAAGTAAATTAATTTGCAAGAAATTCAATTTCTTCTCCAAAACTTTTTATTTGATCATTTGATTAATATTAAGAATTAAAATTTTAGGAAAAGGAATAAATTCTTTTATATTTGCTTAAGTTGCCACAGAGCAAAAAAAAGCAAATACTGAATTAATAAAATTTGTTACATTAATTATTAAAATAATCATACCTCAAATGTATGATCTTGCTTTCTGGAGCAGTCTACATATGAAATGTCACCCAAATCCATCTGTGTTTCTTCAGTTGAATCTAAGTCATACTTAACTAGCATACTTGAACTATGCCGATGATAGTAATATGAACCATTATAGATGATATTACCTGTACCGGATGCCAAATAGTCTATGTAATATCTAAAATATTAAAAATTTCAATTATAAGGTATAAATAATATGAGTCTTTTTTTCAAGTTAGAGGAAAAAAAGAAATAAAAGATTATGATGAATTTCAAGTTATGAAAATTGCTGGGAAATACTATGTAACCGGAATTTATTTTTCACTTAGAAATCATATAATTTCAAAACTGTTTCCGGTTCAATTATATAAGGTCGGCATAATGACTTTCAATTGATAAATTATAATTGTCTGATCTATTTAATGCATCTGAAAAGATGCGCGATAGGGGAAGTTTGCAAATTATAATTTCATAAATGATTACTTAAAAGAGTAATGAATTAATTTTGTCGAATAGAATGAATTTATGTTTGATGAAATTTAATATTGATACTTGATTTTTTGTTTTTTATTCATTAGCTGTCTCTCGTTTTCATATTCATAAAGAACCGGTGAAGCATAATCATCTGTAACCCATCGTCGTTCTGCCATTTCTTGATTGAAAGGTAAATTGTCACGCATCCACGATCCAACAGCACTGTATTGTGATTCAGCATGAAGTACCGGAATACCGATAGCATTCAGAAGGCAAACTAAAAAATCAAAAAAAAAAAATAACAAAATCGTTTTAAAAATAAAAAAAGTAGTTAACATATTTGAAAAAATAATTAAATGACAAAGCATAGCAGTGAGAATTATCGACTAATTTTTTAGAGGAAGAAATTAAAATGCAAGCTTTTTTACAAATTTTTTAAAAATCATCATTGCTATCAGTTAACATTATGCAAAACAAATTAATAACGTTTGATAATATTCCATTAACTTAACCAATTTCGATAAGAATTAAGAAATAATAGTACTTTTGTGTAATAAATTATTTCCATTTTCAGACCTCGTTTGTTATAGCCAAGTGTTGGTGGGCCAATATATGGCTCAATTGTCGTGGAAGAATATTCGATAAAATCTTCTTTCATCGTTACGTAATCCTCTAAAGTAAATCGCAGATCTTTTTCAATGGAATTTATTTTCTTTCATAATTAATTATGTAATTAATTAATGGATACTTTTTCTCCAAAAATTCTATGATCATATGATTCTGTCAATAAATTATTCTACAAATTATTTGCTAAAACAATTATGTTTCAGGAAAGTTAGAATAAAAAGAATAAATACAAAATATATTATAAGCTATAAAAGAAATTATTAACAATGTAAGCCTAAAATTTTTTTTAATATATTAACTTTGTAATACTTCACATTATTAACCTTTTAAAGGTAATAATGATGAGGTTGATTCAGATGGCGGCAGTTTTGGTTTTTTCAACATTTTTGGTGTAGTTTTTGCTACCGTTGTTAATTTGGATAAAATGTGCATCGTCGATAAATCTGTTTTTCCCACACGTGTTGAACTGCTAGTGGACGGACGAAAATGAATTGTAGTCAGTTTCTTTGTTATCTGTCAAAATTTTACTACTTCAATTAATAGGCAATTAAATTAAATTAAATTTCTACCCGCTTTCTTATTTTTAAACAGCCTGTTTTGCCTTCAGTAAATCTCACTTTTCATTTTTGTTATTTTTTTGGACTAAAAGAATTTTTTTAGTAAAACAAATACATTTTGCAACGAAAAATTTTCTCTCAAAATCTATTTCTCTTTTCTAATGACAAGCGCAGCTACCGGTATAGTTTTTTCTTCGACCTGAATAATGGGTGGTCCGGGTACAGTGATCTGTTGTATGTATAGATCCGGAAATGAGCAGTTACATCGGCCTAAAATTTTAGCAATTAACTTTAACCCAGTATCACACTTCTTATCACCTTTCAGATAATAAAAATTCATAATTTTAAAGTGTTTTGAAAAACAATATCAATTGCTTTCGATAAAATCTGGAACATAATTTCATCTTTCAATTAGATAAGCCGATAGCTTATCTTTTTTAATGAGCTGTTAAATAAAAAATTCCTATCGAAATATTCAATTGTGAGAATTTTTTCAATTTTCAAAATTAACCATCAACGCCTGGCTCTCCTTCCTTGCCCACATTGCCGACCAATCCAATTGGACCAACTTTACCCTGTTGACCTCTTTTTCCTGCAAAACATTCAAATCTTAAAATGTTTTTTCTACCGCTTATTTAATGCTATCAAAAGTTGAAAAGAATAGTCTAAAAGGATGATATTTTGATTTTTTAATGAATCAATTGACAGGTATTATGTCAACTTTTGTTAGCAAAAAATATTGGCATCATTTTCACTTTGTGAAATATCCTTTTAATCAAACATTTATCCTTCAAAAAAGATAGTACCGGAAAGTCCAGCAATGCCCTGTCGTCCTGGTGAACCACGTAGTCCTTGGAAACCCATTAATTTCAGACCGGTTTCAGCACAGTGACGATGAATACGCTTGCAGGATGTCTCGAGAACAACTTTCTAAAATTTGAACAATCTAATTTTTTTTAATTTAAAACTTATAAATAAAAAATTCAAATTTTTATATTGTAGACTTTTAAACATTGGTTTTTGTTTTGCAAGAGAAAATTTAGTTACAGAAATAATTGTATTTTGTTCAATGTGTACAGTCCATTGATTGCTACTTCCCTCGGATGATGATAACATCTGCGACTGTTCAGCTACCGATCGTTTCACTTCAATCAACTGTCGTCTTGTTCGATTATGTGCTATTCTGTTTTTATCACATTTCAGCATCTTTAAAAAAATTTAACATTTTTTTAGCAATTTAATTTAATATCATATCACTACTATTTATATGTATAAATAATTTTATCAAAATTTACATTAAACTAAATGATAAAGCAATCAATAAGCTATTTGTTTGTCAATTAATTTATGCAAATCTATTTTAGTGCCAAATATTATCACAATAATAAATTGATACTGTAAAAAAAAGCAGATTAATACAATAGATGATAAAGAAAGAAAGAAAAAGTGAAAAAAAAAGAGGGAGAGAAGATGATTGTTACCTGCAAATGTATGATAGTATCAGAGTAGAGTAGGATAAGAAGAAATAAATTTGCAAAATGAATTGTACAAAGGCATTGAAGTCGCCGATAGGAGACAGTCATGCAGGCATACAGGAAATATTTTTCCACTTAGTTTACTTTTCTAATATTCCGAAAAATATTTCTCTGATGAAATGAAATGAAATGAAATGAGAGTTTGATACCATTCATTTCATACAGTATTACAAATGTACACATTTACATAAATATATATATAAACAATTCGTTTATGATAGACATCCATCATCCATTCTAATTCGTTTTCATTTCAAAATATTTCATTATTTCCAAACGAATTTTTGTTTACATTATGGATTGCGGGAATATTAGGAAAATCATAATGTAAGCCATAATAATAACTTTACGAAAATGAAAGAGATGGATGCATTTTGGAACGAAACAAAAATTGTTATTAAATAATAATTATTAAACAAAATTTTAATCTCACTAATTGTCATGTAGTATAGTTATTGTAGCAATTAATTATCAAGAATTTCAACGAGTAAATAATTTCAGGATGTTATAAAAGTCTTAATCCCGTATGATATAAAAGTTTCAAGGAATTAATTTTTTTTTTTTATGAAATATTGTCAATAACGAATGAAATAGGGAAGTAACATTAATTTTTAAAAGTTCTTAACTGTTTGCTTGTTATTATTTATATTTTGTTTTAGATAAGTGAAATTATTTGGCGCAAATATACAAACTCACTAACGATGCCTAACGAATTTTCGCAAGTTGTTTCCTAAATTTTCGTTTCCTCACATGGGATTTTACTGAGAGTGTCTTAAAGAAATTCTATTTTATATATCATACATTTATGCATTTCCAAAATTGATTAATCATTTCTTCTTTTCTCCATTTTCTCTCCATTTTCCCATCAAACATCCCATCCATTTGCTTCTCGACCGAATCAGTATTTCGATTTAATTTAATTTTATTTTTTTATTTTTCATACATTTTTTCTTTAAGTTTTCTTTGATAGAATAACATTGTTAGTCACTGTTGCTGATCAAAATGTGATATTGTCATCGCGGAAAAGCTGCATGTTTCTGGAAATGGAATATCTCCAGAGATCTCTCCTCACTATTTACGTCATTGTTAAAAAGAAAATCCAAATAAAGTGAAAATGAAAATGAAATTACGCGAGAAGTGCTAAAATTTCTTTTTATGTTATATCTTTTCCTTCATTTAAGCTTGGGAATTTATTTATTTTGAGGGATAAATTTTAAATAATTAAAATTTTTCGACTTTTATTGTCTTATGCAAAAATAGTATTTTCTCGTGAAAAAATAAATTCTTTTTTTTTGGATTTGCTTTATGTTCTTTCAAGTTTTTTCCTTTCAGAATAGGAAATGCTTCGATGACAAATAGTTAAAGATTTCGAAGTTTGGAATAAAAAATTTCAATTCTTTTATGCATTCGTAATAATTTTATTTGTAATTTATGAAGGTTATTAATCTTGATCAAAATTTTTAGTTTCTGATTGTAAATAATTTTGTCAGAAAAGAAAACTTGGGCTCAGGAGGTTTCTCTGTTTTTCGCAAATTTATTTTATTTCCCGAAAATAATATACGACTAAAATCGCTGTTAAAAGTTTTTATTTATAATTTTGCTTATTATTAAGCTTTAAAATTTTTATAATGGAATTTAAAATTCTTCTAATTTTCTAATAATTTCACTCCCAACAAGATATTGTATTTGATGAAGTGATTTTTTACTAAAAAAATAAAACTTTTAGCACTTAATTACTTCTTTACAAGATAAATAATCTCAGATGTAAAAAAATTTCTATTATTAGTCTCAGATATAAAAATTAATTTTGAATTATTGCTAGCAAAAATAGCGTGCTGTTTCGTACTTAAGCTTTTCGCTATGAAATATATTCATAATTGGTATCAAAAAAAGAATGATTTCAAAAAATTAAAAATTTAATAATTTTTTGAAATTAATGATTTGGATAGAATAGCATTACTGAATTTAGGAGATGTAATATAGATGGTATAGCTGAATGTACATTATATATACATATATCTTACATTAATTAGGAGTAATTTTCAATTTAAATTAAATTTTTCCTTTCTATTTCTTTTTATTTGCATAAGATGCTTATTTCATCGATTCTGAATATATTATTTGACTAAACCCTTCGGAAAGCTTCATGTTTTATTCATGCTGCAATAAATAAAGCAAACAGCAATTGCTCGATATAATTCAAATTGTTCCGATTGTGTTATAAATCTTTTTTTATGGACTTCCTTCTTTTTTTTCCTCTTTCAAAAATTTCATTCTGATATTGATAAAAGCGATCAATGTGAATAAGCCAGTTATTTGTATGTTTAGCTAACCTTTTACACCCTCCATTCTATACATTTAAATTGAAAGCTAAAGCTAAAGCCGTCGGTATATATATGCACATATAATTGATTATATATATAATATCAATTTTTATTTTACACCTGCAAAAATGTTATTAAAATGATTGCATTTTTAGTTTTCCTTCAACAAATTTGAATTAAGTCATTTTTGCTCACATTAGAAACGCATAATAAATTCTCAATTTAGAAATTTGAAATTTTCAAAAAAAAGTTGAAAAGTGTTCGAGAAATTTTTATGAAATCAGTACGAATTGATATTGCTTTTTCTTATCAAAAATAAGTATTTCGATTAAACTATTTGATAATTTACATTTGTTTCTTTTACTTAAGTAAAATCATCACTGCGCTTCTAAAAATCATCTTATTTCGTTAGGGATTAGTGTATTACTATTCGTATATTTCATTCATTCTTCACTTCAAATTTTCATATGTATAATATTGGAATGATTGCGAGGCTTCAGAAATTATTTTATTTTAGGCTTATCGAATGCCAATCCTATTTGTTATATTTTGTTTAAATTGTTTACATATCATTTTGCTTAAGGATAAATGCCTACAGCTATAAACAATTTTAATGAAATATAATTTTAGCTATATTTTGAAATTTTTCATGAAAGGATTTCTTCATAATATGCAACTTCTTTGGTATATTTCAGTGGTTATATGATTTAGATAATTATGCTGATACATTTAGTTTAATTAATATTTTTTAGCTCATTTATAACATGACAAGAGATATTGATGTTATTTTACTATTTATTATAATTAACTCACTTAATAACATTTATGTATGTTTTCATTTGAGGTACGAAAAAGGAAGAGGAAAAATAATTAATGATAGTTGAAGTGCTTTCCATTTAGCGTAATTTATAATTTGAAATTGTTTTATATTTAAAATCATACTTTTCACAAATCCATTCATTTTTACAAAAATGTTTTATGTACATAATTGTTTTCAGGTATGTACTGGCTTAGGAAAGCTTTTCTTTCGACCAAAAGGAAGCGTCCTTTAAAAGAGGATTGATTTTTAAGCCTTTAACGAATGTAACACAAATCAAATAAAGGTTCTGCTCTGTCACGGATGACGATAAGCGTTAATTGAACAATAAATCGCCTCCTTTTTTTATAGCACATTTGTACGAGGAAGGAGAGATTTAGTATGAAAGACATTTCTCCAAAAATAATTTTAAAAAAACAAAAAAAAAAATCCATTAATGAAGTACTTTGCATTAGAAAAAAGTTCATATGGAAATGAAATAGTTGATAAAGTAAGATAGTATATCAGTTTAAAATAATAAACGAATAGGAGATGAATTCCAACATACGCGTGAACTCTTTTCATATTAGTTGTTATTATCAGTTTTTTGGTGATAGTAATGATTGATAATCACACTTAGAATACTGGTCATAATGAATGGTGATAATGGCGGTAATAATTTTGATTTTAAAAAAAAATAAAAAAAAGGTTAATTGGCAAAAAAAAAAAACAGAAGCAATTTCTGCTATTCTACAGCAATAAACATTAATATATGAATTTTGTCCTTTCAAGATTGAAATTTCAAATTTCAATGTGAAACATTAATATATGAATTTTGTCCTTTCAAGATTGAAATTTCAAATTTCA